TTGGAAGCCTTTGACATGGTCTTGGTACAAGACATTTGGTCATGTTTGGAAAAATTGTTTGCTTGCCCCTAATGAGGCCCAACTGAGGATGCACGACAAATCCAAGAAGCATGTGTCTAGTACTTCAAAATGGATTCGTGTGACAAGGAAGGAAATGCCTTTGGCAAAGAATGATGAGGAAAAAGTAAAGGCCAAGGAGGTTAGTAACTCTTTAACTAATAAGCATTTTTTTTTCTTTCTTGACAATATGTTAGAAGATGAACCCAAAGATAAGGAGTTTGAGATGGGATTAGAGATGGGGATTAGTGTGGAGAAAGAGAAAGAGAGGGGTGAGGATCTCATTAGGATTGAATCCGTTGAGAAGGTTAAAAGTGGGTTGTCGGGTGACGAAGTTAAGGGGAGTGAGAGGAAAGATATGGGTGAGGGAGTTGAGATTAAGGGAAAGTCGAGAAGAGAGGTCAAGGAAAAAATAGTCAGACTTAATGAGAGGGAGATAGTGAAGGGTAGAGATTTAAAGTGTGGTTGTGAGAAATTAGTTCAGGACGTAAGGGTATAGAAGACTATAAGGGCCAGGAAGGACTTTGTTGATTTATTGGATCCGAATGAGAAAGGTTGCAGTTTGGAGGTTGTGAGCTTTTGAAGGAGAGCCCGGGGGTGGATTTGATGGATAGCCAGGGGGATAGAGTTACTCCTTTAAGGCATAGATTGGGTTCTTGGTTAGAGGAAGTGGAGATCATATCTGTCTCACTGGACTTGGTTTCTTTTGGGATGCTTAAAAGGGTTGATGAGAAAGAGGCGACAGATAAAGCCCGAAGTATAAGCAAAACCTTTAGGAAGAAATTAGCTAAGAAAGCTAGAGCGCTTGGCAAATCCATATGCATTATATTAATTTTATCCCTATCCACGTTGCATCAACTAGTCTATAAAGTCTATCATACACCACCATGAAACTTCATCAACAGTTTCCATTAAGACTACAAACATGATTATAAATGTCATTTGAATAGTCAAAACCTTCATCAAAACTTCAGCTTGAATTTTCCTACTAACATTGTTGAGTCAATGCCCAAATCTCCATCTGCATATTAAGTCCAAGTTTGAGATACAATAATACACCCCAAATGTTTGAATATCTCACCTCTCTTTGAAATTTAAACCTTAGGATTGATAAAGTCTTTCTTTCAATCTTAGGATGAAATTTACAAACGATGTTATTTATGTAGAAATACTTTACAAATCAAACAATAAATAAAAATAGAATATTTTGGATGAGGAAAGATGGGAAATTGAGTGCAACTAATTTAGTTTTAGAAGTCTTTGACTCCACCATCACAATAATTCCACTCCAAGTCTTTTTCAATGTCTACTTGTTCTTTTAGTAAATTTCCATATTGTTGTTATAGTAAATTTCCAAGCATAAGCCAATGTCATTGTACTAGCCTACAACGTCCATGCACTCACCATGAAACTTCACCAAAGCTTTCTTAAAATCTTACGAAAATTTTATAAAAAGATGTATTTATGTAGAAATACTTTTCCAAATAAAAATATACGATTTTGATTTATTAACATTGATATAAAAGGTTGATAGATGATAGATTGTCTATGACTGTCGTAAATAGTCTTCACCATTGATTTATTAACATTTATTTTTGATCATTATTGCAATTACAAGTGACAGTCATCTGTTTGAATTTTCCTATTAACATTGTTGAGTCAATGCCCAAGTCTCTCCATCTGTAGACGTAAAAATCTACCTGTACGGAAAGAGAGACTAATCCCGTAAGGATGAAGCCACTAGCGATCTGCTGTACCTACACACGTAGAGAAACAAACATGAAGCGACGGAAAACATCGGGGTTTAGTGAGGGCTGAAGGTGTAATGTAATGTGAAGTTCTCAAGCGGGAACTCCGAGGTCTGAAGGTGTAATGTAATGTGTCCTGTGAGAGGGTTGACCTCTGTTTAAATAGTGACTGTCTAGTCTCCCAATCTTGGTGGAACTGGGAGTTCTCATAGTAATCTTTTTTCCCCAGGGATGTATCCTTTGGCCTTCTTATCTTGGCGTGGAAGGGAGTCCGAGTGTGATTTGGTTACGGATGTTGGGGGAGTTGGGGTAGTAGTGGACTACCTTATCAGAGTTCAAGCAGGAGTGTGATCCGTAGTTGACTGTGTGCTCCAAACTGGGCTGTAGGCCCAGATGGTGTGCTGGGATTAGGAGGCTTGGGTCCAGATAGTATGGACCGGATGGACTTCATATTGAATGGCCTCATATGGGGAATTCTACCTCGGACTGCATCGGGACTAGGCTAGGTCTAACTCTGTCAGATCAGTTATCCTATTTGGGATGAGGACATTTTTTGGCCCTAACAGTTTGCCCCTCACTCTCTGAGTTAATGAGTGCTTAACTTAGAGAGTATGTGTCCTCTGAGGCGTATCAGGTCGGCCTTCATGGTCGACCGACTAACCGCATGACCCTGCTAGCAGTTAGTCGTTCTTCGGTACGACTGATCGGTTGGACTGAGGTGACGTGGTCGTGTACAAGCTTGGTGCCTTTATTCGAGTCGGGGTATGTGATCAATCCAAAGGGATTCCGTCGATCGGTGTATGGGGCCAAGTGGGTGAATAGTCTAGCGTACATGTACTGGCTTGGTGTGTTCGACCGGGTATAGAAATGAAGAATTGTCTGCTGCAGGTGCATTCGCTAGATCCGCTAGGCCGAATGGGCAAATGAATGAATGAATTATCTACTTAAGGTGCGTCCACTCAGAGCTATTCGGCCGAACAGGGCGCAAGGGGCTAATGTAGCTGTGGAGCCTTGGACGGATTGGTTAAGGCCGAGCCAAGGGATGTGCACATGCTAGCGTACTCTTCCCGATCGGCTCGTCTGTCGGGGATGACCGAACAGGTCGGTATCCTTCTTTTGCCAATGCTTGTTTCGAGGCAGGAGGCAGGGTTCAATATTCTTTGTTGGTCGTTCGGCTTGAGGAGTCTCTTGAATAGGTAAAGTGTCAAGGAGAGTTGCCTTTGTCACGGGTGATTGGTAGGCTAGCTCGGTCAAATAAGCTGGGTGATTAAGCATGAACGGGATTGTGATTTCCTAGGTGTCGCGGATCTCCTCCACATGTATGGTGGTGATTCGGTCTTCATTTTGGATGGGAAAACGGAAAGTCACTCTGTCCCATTACCAATTGGGGGCTGCCACGTGTCTTCCTTTACAGGCTTTTTCCATAAAACCGAGGGAGTGGACTGGTCATCTCCATTTCGAGTTTCTTCTCCAGTTTTCTCCAATTTTCTTCTCTTCTCGTCTGTGTCTTTCGTTCGTTTCAAGTTTTCCTCGGTAACAGTGATTCTCCTCTTTAGATCCCAGCTTCATTCATTATAAATACTCTACTTTTGCACAATTTGTTTGTTGCTTTGTTTTCTTTTCTCTTTCTCTTCTGTGTGCTTTGATTTCCGGTAGATTTGGAGTTGGATTCGAAGGTGTTTTTCTTTTTGAAAGATTTTGAAAAATTTGGAGAAGAAGTTTTGCTTTAAAAAGCTTAAAGTTCTGATTGAACGGAATTTGGAATTCCGATTGAACGGAGAAAGGTCTTGTCGATTCCAATGTTTTAAAAACTGACCCGGGACAAAACCGGGCAAAAACGTCGGGTCCTGGGTCTATCGGTTTCACTGGTTGAACCAGTTGGTTCAACCGGTGAACAGTAACTTGATGACGTTAGCATGATGATGTCATTAAGTTACTGTTCACAGAATACATTGCTTTCTCAAATTTTACTCCAAAGTCCAAATCATAAACTCCAAAATAAAAAATCCATAGCAAAACATCATCAAACATCATTATATCAATAATACAAATCAAAATAACAAAATGAATGAAGAAAAATAACATAATAGTTGTTTCAAGTTTCCAACTTTCAAGTCAATGACTCAACATTTCAACATTCTAACAAAAATTGATATTCACCAAATGGTCTTCAATCAATCAATCCATCATTCCATCCTCAATTAAAATTGACAATTCACATACCACCTGATGGATGATCGTCATCATTATTAACATCGGCGACATCATCTATAAAAAATTCTAGCAAAAAAGAAAAACCATAAGTGAAATCTTCCCATTTTAACTAATTGAATATAAACTAGCTAATACCAAATTAAAATTGCTTAAAAAATTGTAAATAACCTTCTGAAGCATCTGTTGAGTCATAATAAGAAGGGTGATCACTAGATTCACCACCATCTACAGGAATAGCTCCTTCTCCATATAATGATTGTTCCAATTGATCATAATTAAGCTCACCAACCTCCTCTTTCTCATCAACTATCCACCATTCAGTTTTATCAATACTCTCATAATCAATAGGATCATATGTAATTTTCTTGTAACAACTCTTGAAATAGCAAAATTAAATATTCAAATCATGACCAATAAAGACATCAATAAAAATAACAAAATGAAGAAGACTTTATACCTTTTTTGCAAACGCAAGTTATAATGAGTGAAAACCAAATCATTCAACCGTGGATGCTCCAATTTGTTCCTCTTTTTAGTATGTATGCATTAAAAAACACTCCAATTTCGCTCACATCCGGAAGAGGCCGAAGTTTGACTTAGAATTTTGATTGCAAACTTTTACAAATTTGGAGTACTAAACCTAAATGTCCTCCACCATTCATCTAATTGAGAATAAAAATATAAATTACATAAGAAATAAACACAATTTCATAACTTAAAAATTAGACTTAAAAATTTAATAATTATTACATACCTGGCCGTGTAGTTTTGCAAGTTTGAAAAACAAGCTCACGAGAAAAGCTTTCTAGACGATCTCGATATAATCTACTCTCATCAAGTAAAGTTGTCTTGCTCATTTTGAATGCACTTGCTTTATTGTCAATAGTGTCAAGAAAACCATACATGACCTCGGGTTTTTTGGAAAAAGTGTCCTCGTCATATTTAAAAGCAGGATTCAAATAATATGCTGCTGCATGAAGATCACGGCGCAACATCCCAACTCATCTTGATAATTGTTGTATAAGGCTTGTACAAATTTTTCTTGTTCTTAAATAGCTTTTTGATTCCCATTCTCGTTCCGTACATGCCATCATACACATATCCTATTGAAGGCCTCTCATCTGAGTCTACAATCCGGAGCATACGCATCAATGGACTCACAACTTTGGAAACTATACCAATGTCATCCCAGAACTGGTTATCTAGAACTATGGAAATAAAGGCTTTGCCTTTATTAGTTTTTGCATATCGGCACTCCACAAAAGTTCTATCTGTCACTGTAGATTGCAAAACATGTTTGTGCTGATGTAGGCTGCTCAATGCAATGAAAGTTGTGGCAAAACGGGTTGCACCTGGGCGTATAATTTCTGTCCAACCCTATTCAAGTGATAGACAATAAATGTTAGCACTTGGTAAATTATTAAAAAGTGTACATATATAATATATCTTGACAATATAAATTATAAACTTATGAAGTAAAGGTATATAACCTGTTTTTTCCTCAGCAAAGCCAGCACAAAGGAATGATTATACACAAACTTTGTAACCTCAAATGCACGGGTCGAAAGGTTGACTATATGACTCATCTTAGCTATGTCTTTCAACATCAAATTAATGCAATGTGCTGCACAAGGAGACCAAGTAATACTGCTATATTTTTCAGACAACATTCTTCCAGCAGCTTTATAGTTTGCTCCATTGTTAGTGACAAGATGGACAATATTGTTTGGTCCAACCCATAAAGCTATTTCCTCAAACAAGCTGAACAATGTTGCAACATCCTTTACAACATCTGAAGCATCCACTGATTTCACAAAACACACTCATTTAGGACAGTACACTAGAAAATTAATCAACGACCTATGTGAATTATCTGTCCAACCATCAACCATTAAAGTACTTCCAACATCCTCCCAAGTTTTCTTGTAACTATCAACAAGTAATTGCACTTCTTTCTTAGCATCTTTCAATAAATTCACATGCAAATTATGGTAAGTTAAGATTTTATACCCAGGACCAATTGTAGCTATAGCATCCGCCATAGGTTGAAAATAAATTGAATTAATAACATTAGTTAGGATGCAAGAATCATAAAATAACCTTGCAACAGCCATGTCCGCTCTCCACTTAGCTTCTTTTCCGGCTAAAACACTCCTAATTGAGGGTTGACACCTAGCATTAGTCCTCGGAGCAAAATAGTCACCTATCCCAATAGATTTTTTTTCTTTTACTACTTGCAGTTGAAGTTGGAGCTGGAGCTGGACATGGAGAAACCTCTTCACACTCTTGATCTTCATCTAACATATCACCCTCAAATTGTTGTACACTAGCTCCATAAGGGTTGGCATTCTTACGAAGTTCAACTTTTTGTTTATTATTGGCCCCAATTTCATTTAGTGCTTCTCCAATCTTGAATTTAACATCGAAAAGAACTTTAGGGCACTTTCCAACTTCTCCCTTTACACCCGCTAGATGTAATTTAACTCGATAAATTCCTCCACCTCTGATTATCTTGCCACAGTAAAGACATGTTAATATCTTCTTCCCATTTCATCCACACCCTCATTAACATGTGCCCACGCTATATCATTTCTTCCTCGAAAAGTTTGTGAAACATCCATGGAGGCAGATTGTTGACAAGACCCAAATGATGACATATTCTTTGCCTTTAATCTTGATCTCTACCCTGGTGACACAAATAACAAATAAGGATGGATGATCTCTACTGCGATTTTTCAAAGGCTACATTTGCAAGCAATCATCCATAAATTGTTTTGATGTGGACTATTTGCCAAGACTTCATCAATTCCTTTACACAATATATGACAATTTAGTCTATTCACTGTATATCTATAAATTGATATAATCAAAAGCGTAAAACTTCAAAATTATTGAAACAAATTCAATTAAACAATGAGAATAATGATATCATTATCATTATCATATCTCGTTTGTAACTTGTAAGCAATATCATGTCAATATGAAAATTGACTTTATGTGGTAATGGATACTGACTGATAACAACTTCTCTTTTCAATTTCAGGAACAAGTGTCCAACAACTCCAAGCTGTTCAACCCAACAGCTTCATGGAAAATACATGCCAAACTCATTTCAAGCTACATGTGATTCCATGATGGACCACTGAATCCATATATATCATAAATTTGTTCAAATAAAATGCAATTACAAATACCAATTTAATTATGTACATTTAAATAAACTTTTCAACTTCAGACACCCTGTACATTGATCAAATGAAAACTAAAACATATATGTACCATCATTTGTCTCTCTTTAAACTGTATCTTCCCATCAATTTTCAATCCATAATTTCACTGATTTGATCACATATTGATGCAATAAGGTAATGACATTATCAAATTGCCAACACCAACCACATTTTATAAATGTAATGACAAATGCAATAAGGTAGGAATATATATGCAGGAATCAATCAGAAAGTGAAGCAGCGTGTCTTTGAGTTGACATATTTGATTGATGCAATAAGGTAGGAATATATATTGATGCCTTTGAATGCTGACTTGCTGAGACAATGGGGACTCTTGCTGATTACAAATGGCAATATAAAGTTATAAACTATAAAGTATAAACTCTATAAAGTACAAACATTGTAGTAAAAAACTAAAAACGAAAAACGAAAAACAATAATAAGTTAATAGTGTTACAGTAACAAGAATGATAAACATAGTTGGAAACTTGGAACAGAGACGAAATCAATACCTGGTGTTGGTGAAGATTGAAGATGAGCTGCCGTTGACAGTTGGAGATGTGGAGCTCGACTGTGATGGACGAACACTTGATGACTTGAACACTGAACAGAGCAGAATTGCAGAAGAGAAGAAGAGATCGCGACTACCCACAGTTCGTCAGTTCCTGAGCAAGAAAAAGATGACAACGATGGTGCAACTTCCAGATCGACGGTGATGGAAGAAACGAGCAGATCGGTGGTGAAGAGAGGAGTGAGAACAGATCGCGAAATGGTGAAGGGGAGACGACGAGATTCCGCGGTGAACTGGTGATGGTGAAGGCTAATGCGACGAGATTCACGATGAAGTTTGTGAACTGGTGAAGGGGAGTTCGTGGATGATGAAAAATTGAAAATGCAAAATGGTTCAGGCTTCAGAGGAGTTCAGACGAAAAAGTTCAGAGAAAGAGGAAAGGAGCGTGAAATGGGGGGAAATGTTGATACTGTTTAAGTGTGTGCTGTGTAGTTAATACTTAATATAATTTATTAAATTTAATATTTTTATTTTTTAAATTTTGTATTAATGTATTTGATTTTGGCATGACCCGGTTTGTAGTAAAGTTACCAGTTGGACCGGTGGGTGCTACAGTACACCGGTCCAACCGCGGGTCAAACTGAGCAGAATGATTTTATCGGTTATATGGCTCACCCGGCCCGGCTGACTGACCGGGTCCTGGTTTAATCGGTTCAACCAGTCGGGTCGGGCCGGGTTTTAAAACATTGGTCGATTCACGATGGTTTGGGGCGGACGCCGATCAGTAAGTGGTTGATCCTAAGAAGGCAGGTCGATCGGTCATTCAGGGCAAGCGGTTGTTAGTGAGTATGAGTTTTCCAAGGGACTAGGTCGGCCTGGGTTAGAGGTGATAGGTTTGGACGGAGTAGGTCGGTTGGTGGTGGGGGTGGTGTAGTGATCTAGCGATTAAGTTTGAAGGAGTTGGGTCGGTCATTCATGAGAGACAAGTGGTAAACGAGCAATTAGATTCTGAAGTTGGTCGTTTGGTTGGGCGGAGTGAGTAGGCTTAGGGATGTTCGAGTCGGAGTCAAGTGGTTCGATTGGGGCTAAGGTAGATGTCGAGAATGAGTACGAGAGTGCTCGGACCATGGTGATGATGCCTGAAATGGGCATTCCGGTAGGTATACCGACCGGTGTGAACGTAGCTACCCAAAGGATGAATGTTGCTAATCTGAGTGGTTTGGGCAGGCAAGGGGGGAGTGGGGAAGACTCTGAAGGAGTTAATAGTCCATCCTCGTCCGATAGTGGCTCTGAGGACGAGCCGAGTCAACAAGGCAGTGGGATCCTAAGCAAGGATTATCCACCTGTGCTTAAAGATAGCGACGTGTGGTGGCTCCGGACAATGTATCATATTCCGGATTCGATTGAGATTAGGGTGCCACGGTCGTACGAATGGGTCAATTGGGAGGCAAAAGGTTGGGTGAGTGTTTACGAGAAATGGTTTCACGACAGGCTGAGGTTTCCTATTCCTCGCCTCATCTGGGAGGTGCTGAACCACTTCATGATTACCCGGTCTCAGATCATGTCAAACGGTTGGAGGTTGTTGATGGCACTGGAGGACTTTTACGCGTAGAACTAGGTTATGTTTGGGCTGCACGAGCTGCTATATTCATATTTCCTGAAGGAAAATGGTCGATACCTGATCAACCTCAGGCATGATCGTTCTCACCTGGTGACTGACCTTCAGTCAAGTGACAAGAACTAGAAGGATCGGTATTTCTTTGTGAGGGGTGAGGCAGTCTTTGGGGAGAGAGGCTAGGGCGATATTCCGAACACTTGGGGAGCCACTGGTGAGAAACCTTTTGTCTTTTGATTACTAAATCTTATTATATTTCTTCTTTACAGAACTTGAGTTTAATCGGGCCGGGTAGAGCAGAGATGGCTTGGACGTGCAGACCCAAAAGGTTCTAACCATTCCTAAGGCGAAAAGGGATTGGCGAGTGGTTTTGGAGAAGGCCAACCTCAGGACCAGCCATCTTTGGGTCGGAGTAGAAGCGATTCAGCGAGGTACTCCCTTCCCTTCGTTGAAGCAGACTTGGAATGTGCTTCTGACTTGTTATTGCAATCATACTACTTACGGTAAGTCTTGGCTAAACCTACTAACTGTTGGAGAGTTTGTTCTTGCAGTAAGGCTAATGAAGAAGCTGATCGTCCCTAGTGCGAGCGAGTCCATCTCTCGGCATTGGGAAAAGAGGAAGAGGGAATCCTTGGCCAGAGAAGAGAGAAGAGTAGAAGATGTGATGGTGACACCACCAAGCTGTCAGCCGACAGACGGAGCCGGGTCATCTCAGACAGCGGCCTTAGATGAAAAGACTGAGATGATCAGCTTCGGGATTCTGGTTTTTGCATCGACCTATTCTAACGCGACTTCAATGAGCAAATTGGCGGACTCCTTCCTGTTCCTGGCAAACGAGGCCCATTTGAACTAGATGGGCACGGTCGCGACCGCTAACTGGGGAGTATCCCGTGGTTGTATACTGATGAAATCATTTTATTATGCAGACATTCACGAGTAGTCTGCATCTGAGGAAGTCCATAGTGGCGCAGGAGAAGAGGATATAGGATGTGTCCAAGGCGAATACCAGTTTACACCAGAGAGAGGCGGCAGCCTAGAAGGCCGAGCAGGAGAGCCAGCAACGTCTGAAGCAGGCCGAGGATGAGTTGGAGAGGCTGAGGAAAGAATTGGCCGAAAAGACTACAGAGGTGGAGTCCCTCAAGAAGCAGTGCCTTACCATTGCTGATGATGCTATTATCAGGGCTCGGGGAGAGCTCATGCTTGAGTACAAGGCTGGGAACACCTCTCACTGGAATCCGAATGAGGTCAATGACTTGTCGATTTTAAGGTGAGGACCCTTCACTCAGTCTGGTTGACTGATTGTGTAGCTTCATGAACCGGACAGGGTCGGTCGAAGGTGTAGATCCATGAATCTAGCAAGGTCAATCCGAAGGTGTAAAACTGTGGATCGAGTAGGGCCGATCCGAAGGTGTAGGTCCATGGATCAGGCAGGGCCAATCCGAAGGTGTAAATCCATGGATCGAGTAGAGTCGATCAAAAGGTGTAAATTCGTTAATCAAGCAGGGTCGATTCGAAGGTGTAAAAAATTCGTGAATCGAGCAGTGTCGATCCGAAGGTGTACAAAATTCGTGAATCGAGCAGTGTCGATTCGAAGGTGTAAAAATCCGTAGATCGAGCAGGGTCGATCCGAAGGTGTACAAAATTCGTGAATCGAGCTGGATCAATCTGAAGGTGTAAATAATCGGT